TAAGGATCAGTTATCCACTTTACGAACAGAGTAATATAGCTGAGTCAGCTCAACAGTCCGCCGAATAAATCTTGGGGGTCTTAATTTGTACAGCTATAAATTGTGTAGCCAGTTCCACTGCTAGCTGGGAATGAGCTTCTTACGTCCACGGTCCGACTTTATTCAGTATTTCATTATTAAAGATTAAAATATACGACGGAATAAACCCATATAAAATCAGATTTTGTCTAATTTAAAAAAAAAAAACGCAGCAAAATTTATAAATAAAAATATAAAAAAGGTGATTCCTAATATTGGCCAAGTAAGCGATTGGTGGTGTCGGCATCGAACCTTCGGGTTCGCTAAGCCTTATTATTATTACATTACTAGTTGGCCTTTGCGAAAAATTCGCAAACAACTTTTTTTTAGTGAAGAAATAGCAAAACAATATGGAAATATGTAGTTCCTATGTATTATGTAAGGAAGGAATTAATATTTTTTCCTTGGTCGATTACAATATTCCATTAAACATAATAAACCAAAATATTTGTACAAATTGCTTTGCTAGGACCAATTTTTAAACGCTGACTCGAAAGACAATAAAAGTAATATAGACAAAACAATGGCCCGATCATGGGATATTCTAAATTTTTAAAAATAAATAAAATTTAAGATCAACCAAATATCTTTAAGAAATTATGAAGTTAATATATCAGCCAGGAAAAAAAATGTAGTAGACTATTCTACTCCTAAATGCAATATCTTTAAACAGTAACACATTATTAAGTATACCAAAACTAATGAACTGTTTCTTTGTTAATAATTGTCCGATTTTTTGTTTTGTAGGTAATTAAGTTATATTTCTAATTATCGTGGGTACAATCAAGAAAAAAGTGCATACTTTTTGAGTTATTCGCAAATAAAGTTTCTTTTCCTCCATAAATTTTTTTCCAGAAATTTCGGGAGGATATGACTATTTTTCGCATGTGAAGAAGAAGAATATCTTCAAAATGAGTGGTCAATTATCGGATTTGATGAAGTTATGGCGTACCGACAAAAAACCACCTTTGAGAAATAATATATATGATTATTAGGTTTTAAGTTGTATCAAAGTAGTAATATAAATGTATATATTAATACAAATATATTGGTCCGGGTTTATCATAAAAAATACTTCAAGAAGAATGTTATTGCTCAATTCCTCCTACTTATAACATTTTTAATATAAAAAACTGAATATGGAGATGAGCCCCAAGAGTTTATGTGAAAACTTCATCTTCTTCATCCCCGCTTCTCCCATCCCCTCTTTCTTCATAAAACTTTATTTATTTTTTAATAATGGAGAGCACCAAGTGAAGCTTTCAAAGAAAGAATTTCTCGTTATAATATTCACTGTCGGTACATCATCTAAAATTACTGTCATGATTTAGAGATAATGAAAGTGCAAAACTTTTTTTAATTTCCGACAATTTTGCAAGAGATCGCTAACAGTAAACTACAGTAAGCTATCTTACTGTAAAACTCAGCCGAATCAACGGGGAGGGGGTTTTCGGAATGAAACCCCACAAAATGGTAAAATATAACCATGTTTTATATAAAAAAAATTATATCTAAAAGTATTATGGTCCGTCTAATTACATTTAATAGGACTTCAAGAATCACTTAAAAACAATTTCATAAAGGTAGTTAGTTTCTTTCTTTCTTCCGAAGTAATTATTCTAATATATACATATAATCATAATAACAAAAGGCTTAGCGAACCCGAAGGTTCGATGCCGACACCACCAATCGCTTATTACACACCTCCCTCCACCGTTCGCCGTCCAAACCCAGTCCCTTCAGATCGGCTTTAATGCAATCTTCCCACCTTCGCTTCGGTCTACCCCTCGGACGTTTACCATACTCTCTTTACTAAGTCCAACAACTTTACAAGCCCATTTAATTCGCCGGTATGAAATCCCCTCAATTATATTACCCGGATACAGTTCACGCAATTCGGCGTTGTGTAACCATATGAACTCTCAGTTTGACTCATCCTTCTTCGGTCCGAATATTCTACGCAATACTTTATTTTCAAAAACCTTAAGACGCTGCTCATCCCTTAATGTAAGCGGCCAAGTTTCGCATCCATAAAGAACTGTAGGCAAGATAATTGTTTTATAGATTCTAATTTTTAAGTTTCGGGACAAGAGGCGCGAACTAAGTAGTTTTGTCATAGAAAAATAACAACCATTTTAAAAACAATCAAATATTTGTACAAATTTCTTTGGTAGGATCTATTTTTAATCGCTGACTGGAAAGATAATAAAAGTAATAAAGACAAAATAATGCCCCGATCATAGGATATTGTAAATTATTTAAAAAATAATAAAATGTAAGAACAACCAAATGTCTTTAAGAAATAATAAAGTTAATATATCAGCCAGGAAAAAAAGTGTAGTAGACTATTCTACTCCTAAATGTAATATCTTTAAACAGGAAGACATTATTAAGTATACCAAAACTAATGAACTGTTTCTTTGTTAATAATTGTCCGATTTTTTGTTTTGTAGGTAATTAAGTTATATTTCTAATTATTGTGGGTACAATCAAGAAAAAAGTGCATACTTTTTGAGTTATTTGCAAATAAAGTCTCTTTTCCTCCATAACTTTATTTTCCAGAAATTTCGGGGGGATGACTATTTTTCGCATGCGAAGGAGAAGAATATCTTCAAACTGAGTAGTCAATCATTAGATTTGATGAAAAATTGACGAAGTTATGGCGTACCGCCAAAAAAACACCTTTTAGAAATAATATATAGGATTACAATTATGTTAATAATATTTACAAATATAAAAAATAAGTTCGATTTTGGGAGGAACAAAGATAGCGCATTGGTTCGCTCAATAGTGCAGTCTTATTTTGACTGGTGGGGGGGGGGGGATACTGCGTTGTCTTGGCAACCTCATGCACACTCCAAGCCCTCTGTACAATACATGTTCACCTTTAATCTTAACTAATACAATGGCTGTATTTACATACATTTCTCTCTATATATAGGTAACATAATATCTAATCGTTTACGTAAGTATTATAATATATATTATATTAGTATAGATAGTCGATATTATGGAAACATCGATGGAAATATGCGCTATCTTTGTTCGTCCCATAGTCAAACTTATTTTTTCTATGTGTAAATATTATTAACATAATTATAATTATTTTCCTTCCTATTTCAATATTTTACCACTGGTAGTATATTCTTCGATATTATTGACTATCGATATCGTCCCTTCGATATTTTTATATAAAAATTAAAATTATAGTTTTTGCAAAGCCGTACGGTAAGCGAGCCAGTGTGAGAGATGTGTTTGTCTTTTTTGGCTTATATCGCCGTAATTATTATAGTAATAAACTTCTCCGTTGGATATTTAGAATCTCTAGAGTCTCTTTTTTTCTATTTAATACTTTAAAATTAAAAAATATTCAGTTATGCAGGTATAATATCAATTTAAAAAAAAAAAAATTTTCACTAGTGATAGATACACCGAAATTCAATTCTTCTAGTAATGGACAGGGGGTCGGTACCAATAATGGAAATACCTTAGAAAAATTCTAAAATCTTTGTTTAACTGTAAAGATAAGATGGTATAAATATTGAACATAATTTTAGCAAAACTGTTAGTAGGAAGATATGAAACATTTTTGATCTCAAGAGCATTATAGAAACAACAACGATAGGCATTATAAAATTTTCTTTTGGGAACTTTGTTCATCGAGTTGTTAAAAGAGGGCATTGTTCTTCAATCTAGAAAAAACTGCAACTTTTAAATCAACAAGGAAGGTTATTATTCACATTTAAAGTTAACACCCCACTTATCCCTATTGAACAAATCCGATACATTGGACTCCAGCTGGACAAACGTCTCACTTAGAATCCTCATACAAGAATGAAACGACAAGAAACAGCTCGACGTTTTCGACTACTGCAGCACTTACTAGACAAACGTTGTAAACTTCCAATTAATTACAAAAGACTCATATATATGACTATAATAAGACCTATTTGGACTAACGGAGTTGAGCTCTGGGGCTCCACTAAACCATCGAATTCCTCTCGTATCCAATCCTTACAATCCAAAATCCTTCGTAAAATCCTCAATGCTCCTTACTTTGTCAAAAATAAAATAATCCATAAAGACCTCAATGTTACAAATGTTTCCGATTTAACCAAATCCAGATACCTATCCTTTCCATAATAAACTTCATAACCATCCGAATCCTCTTGTTTCTAACCATGCTTCCTCTTCGATTCCTGATAACCCTCCTAGCCGTCTGAAAAGAAAATGGCCTCGTTATCTCCTCATGTAGACAAATTATTAGAATGCTACCAATGGATAGTTTCTCAACAGGCGTGTTTCATGTGATTATATTCGTCTGTACACATTTACTTGATGTATTCATACTAATACAGTTGTAAATATCATAATAGAAGTTAAAAAAAAACATTTAAAGTACAGCCTATTTATCAACGTACTGCCCATAACTGGTACGTTCACCCAAGTTTGGAGACCCCTACTATAAACTATTAAAATTGTTTCTGTTAAAAGAGTGGGTATTCTATAATCAAGAGTTGATACGTAATCTTGAAACCGACCGCCATCTAAGAGTAGCAAAAGGGAACTACAAACTTTTTCTATGATTAATAAATGTGAAAAAATTAAAAAGTTTTTCGTTTAATAAATTATACATAAGGACTGTTCCAATACGAGTTTTGACTATCAGCAAAATGTCAGCCGTATGCGCAGATTTGCTTTTTTAGACGAAAAAAGGGCCTAATATTATCAGAAACCATTTTATATCAGGAAGCTCTCCTGCTTGAAACACCATGTATATTTTCAAATCGTCATAAAATAATACTAATGATTTTTACTATTCAAGAAACAATATTTAGTAGATATTTCAAAACTATAGCTAATTTTTAAAAATCTTAAAATGAAGTTTTAAATGTTTTTAATAATTAAAAATACAGACTTACTTTTAAACCTTGAACCACTCCAAAGGTGATGAAAATATGAACCTGAAACAAATCAAAATGATTAGGACAAGCTAGTAACATACCTAATATATATTAATATAATAAATGTGCATAATATTTACTTCATATATCTTTATACATTTTTTAAATGATTATAGAACAATTATAGGCAATATAACTTAGCATGCAAGGAAGTAATTATTTTTGTTTACTTCCTTAAAAAAAAAAGGAAATACTTCTCAGTTATGCTCTAATGTCTCTGAAATCGAATCATGACAAACAGCTGTTTTCAAGTGAGCTCAGAGTGAGTTTGGGAATAAGTTCACACACGGTAATGGTGTGACAAGTCGAAACAAAATGGTGTAATATACGATACAGGGGATTCCATTCTAAACAGTAAATCTACCTTAGCAAAGAAGTTTAGCTTAAATAATATATCTCTTGATACTTTAAACTAAAAGGCTGGGTTAGACATTTTAAAAACAGAAGAATCACAAACAAGAAACAGGGTACTTACAATTAGACATTTCTGCATTTCAAGAGAAACGAACATGGCTGACGTTGGGAATCGCATTTGTCCAAACTTATAAAACGCGTGAAATTCATCAAAGTACATTGTGTACAGACCATTCAATCTGTTCGATAATATTCAAGAAATGAACAGAATGAGGATATAGTTTTGCGAGACTTCATCTTAAATACAGAATGTTAGAATTTATTTACAATTAAATAAATAAAGTACAGTAAAATTATCATTTTTTTGTAATAAAATAAAATAAATAAGATAGGTATAATATAACACGGAAATACTTGTGGAGAAACTATCGATTGATGACATTCCAACGACTATGCCAATTATATGCAAGAAGGTCACGGATGCCGCATTCTTTTCAGACACCTCGCAACGTTATCGAATGTGGTAGTAGAAGATTATAAAAACCTTACGCACGAGTATATAATTTAGTAAAGACCAATGTATCTAGAAATATACAAGTTTTGAGATTTGAATATATTTATAAATAAATCAATTTTTTTTCAATTAAAAGTTGGAATAAAAAACCTCAACATGAACACCAAAATTAATTCCTCGAAATCTTTATTCAACTTGTGTAAAATGGGGAATAAATAATACCAAAAACATTGGTGCGCGGAACACACAATTTTCACTTAATTTTCTACTTTGAATAGGAATCATTTTCTGGCAATGTTGAGCAATCATAAAATTTTTGAAGTGAACTTTTAACGGAGCTATAGCTTAAAGTTTACAACTAACAAATCATTACCACCAATAAAATAACAAAAACCCTATTAATTATATCAATGGTGGACAATAAAAACCTCGGTACTCCTTCTGTTTTTGTAAACCACATAACTCCAGTCTCTGAGTATATATATATATATTCCAGGAGAGATTTCAAAGTATATCTCGATATTCAACTTATCAATGATTATGGATTGTACGCCTATTAGTTATTAATCTGTAATTTTCATTGTAAAGTTTACTACAAAGAAATTACGAGATTTCCATTGTCATTGATAAGTATAACATTTTTACACTAATTTTAAGGGGATAGTCTTTGATTTCACAAAGAGAAAATTCATAAAATTATTCACTAATTTCATTTTTTAAAATTACTTACTAATTTCATTGGTTACATGACGATATTTCGGAATAAACGGACATTGATTTGAGATTTTTCGGGATTTCTCTAAATTTGAAAGATAGAAGAAAGCTCGGTTCCTTCCAAGGACAACGATGCTGGTATACTTAGAAAAACTTGTAGAAGATGGAGTTAATACTGACAGTATAAAAAATCACATAGAATATAAAAAATACCCGAATACACCAGCAGCAGAAGCGAATACATAAGGTTTTGGAGGGAAACAGTGACGAAGAAAAAGCCTGTATGTCAATTTGCATACTGACAGGGAATAGCACTGAGGTGCTGGCAGCAGAGCCACCCTTATCACAAGGTAACTTCTACACTCAACCTCAGTTAGTACGTAATATCATATTATTATTATATTATATAAAGTTGACTTAAAAAAAATCCGAATAATAAATTTAGAAAACAAAATTTTTTTTGGCGCGGTACGCACATCACACAATTTCACTTATCAACCTGTTTCGAAAAGAAATACCACTCCGCGGTACAGATACCTTTTCATCACATTATTAACATCTCATATATTACTTCTGAATATATATATATATCCCTTTTCTGGTCCCTCAGAAAAGTATATATATATATATATATATATATATATATATATATATCAGAAAAAAATATATATATCCCTCAGCAGTGATGTGTATTGAAGGTTTTAAACCATGTGATACAGCTAAGTCAACAAATCGTGACGTTATGATGGATTTACTATTCGCGAAGAACGAGTTCTTCGTATATAAAATATAATATTAGCAAGATAGTTTATCCAACATACATAATTGGTGAAAAATCTTCACACTATTACCACGACTGTTAAAGTTACAACTGACATAATAAGTTATATCAAGGAATGTTTTCAATTTTTAAACATAATGAGTAGTGTTGTCCAAATGCAAGACCGAGACGAGTCTTGGTCTTGAAAACTCAGTCTTGTAGTTACCTATTAGCTAATTACTATAATTGTTTAGATAGGAGAACCCTAACAAAGCTCGAATGAAAAATTAGAGGAGTTAAATGTATAAGTATATTAACCAATTATTAACATATGGTAACTAAGATTGTCAAGTATTAGTAACTATTTTGCCTTAATGTTTATTTAAAAAAACCGTTTTTTTTTTTATCAGCCCTGGTCTTGATTTTACAACAGTTAGGCGGTCTTGGTCTTGCAAAGTGCAAGACCAAGACCGATTTTGGTGAACACTAATAATGAGTATCCCATGACAACATAGTACCTATGTTTTCAGCAAGAATTACGACTTATCTCGAAAATAGCACATCTCAGGATTTTTAAACGTCTTGATACTTCAAAGCACAATTTATCATGTCAGAATCTGTCTACTTTTAAAACCAATTTTATCATTAAATTCCCTTTCTTTGCATACGTCATTCATCAAAATGTATCGCTTTCGAGAGCCAGAGAACAGTCCTGTAGTACAGTATTATATGCAGTGTATAATATTATGATGCAATAAAAAAACAAAAAAAAGAACCAAATATAGTTTTAGATGATTTAGTTTAGATGAGATGCCTCCTAGATTTCAATACTCCACAATCTTTGCCCTCGTTGCGACCACCGTTAACCGCTGAGACCACTTCCTCCGGAAGCGGTATGTTCCTAAGACTCCCTCAGCTCCGACAGACCCGCTGGCCCATACCGATCGCCAGGACCTCATTCTCAGTCCTCATTCTGTATTCTTCTGGTTCCGCACCAGCGAGGCAGCACTTCTTGATGAGTCGCCGAATAACGGAGGTTGGTAACAGACTGAGCTGGAGTGAGAAAATGAAATATTTTACGTTCAATGTTCGGTCTAAAGACAGATGAGGAAACTAGACAATTTAGGAGACTTCATAATCAATAATTAAAGTTCGTTTATAATTAAAGTTATATTATGAAATGAAATGAAAAAATGTTTTATTATTCTGGGACTGTTGTCCCTTAAGAACAAAATATAAATACAGATTGTATGTATGTGTGGTTACAATTAAATTGTATATTTACAATAAAAAGTTGACTTAAGATAAAAATATTGAAGAGAGAAAGAAAAGAACAAGTAAATTGTACATATGTATGAGAAACTAAAGTATCCTAAATAAATTGAGGTAGTCTCTGGTGGTGCTCAGATATTTCTCTTAGATATATTTCACAATCATTCGGATTGAGAAAGGATTATGGTGATTATGATGAGTAAGTAAATGTAATAAATAGGATAAGGAACGAATCCTATAGTCATACAGACAGCTAGATACAATCGATTATCATGAATTCAATCGATCAAGGAGACGAAACTGGACATGTCAGCCCCTGCCTTGTCAAATATCAATATTATTCTTGGGATATTAATTTTTAGCTTATAGGGTAAAGATTTTATTACTCTTGATGTCACTGAACGCATTTATCGGTAAATGATGATGATGATGATGTATTTATATATTAATCAACATTTAAATGATGATGTATTTATATATTAATCAGGCACTTTATATTGTCAGGTTCATATTCCACTTTTCTCAACAGAAACACAAAGCTTATTTTAATGAAGAATTTAATTTTTTTTTTCTCTTTGATGTTTTCTTAAAAGTGTATACTAGTCTATCACTGCAAATAGCTTTAAGTGTCTTGTCTTAGTTTGTTTGTTTGTTTGATACGATGTCTAGGCGCAAAACATCCAGGCGCCCGATCAACTAAATAACATCATTTAATACTTGGATGATTGGTACAAAAAAAATAAAAAAATAAATAAATAAAATAAAATAAATAAAGAAATGGATTGATAGAATAAAATAAATAAATAAGGATAATAATAGACATTTATAGGTAATAAGATGTATAAAAAATGTATAAATAAATAAACTTTAAAAAATAGCAGTAGAATCAATAAATGAATTGAGATTAATAAACAAATGAATTTAAAATGAAATGAAATCAAGTGAAAAAAAAAAAGCCTGTCAAATGTGTTTTTTAAGTCTTTCACTATCCAGAAACTTGATGACTTTGGTAACCATTTCTTCTTGATTTCCCAGGGATGCTGATATATTCTGGGGTATTCCAAAATCTTTTAATCTTGCGGTGTAAAAAGGGCATTCTTCCAAAATATGTTTTATAGTTAGTGATTGGTTACACTTTTGACATCGGGGGATAGAATCTTTTGTTATGAGGTGGAGGTGAGTCAGTCTCATAGTGTTAATTGTTTTGTATATAGTTTCGTTTGTTTTGTATATATTTTCTTTACATTATTAATTTTTTTCTATTGATTTGATTTAGGGCAGATGTAATCGTTTAATTTTGTTATTCTCAAGGGACTTTGTCCCAGAATGAAGTCTTTTTCTATCTATCTATCTATCTAATTAATCAAAAGTAATAAAACAGAAAAA